CTGTGTGCCCTCTCCCCTGCCAAATGAGCCATTCCAGCCCAGGGCAGGCAGTTCAGCTCTAGATCCAGCTCCAAACCCAGAGCTGAGCCAACACCTGCCCTAGGCTGCTACTTGAATCCTTGATAAGACCCTTTCCCCACCTCCATTGTTGTTTTGGGGGGGGCGGGGGGGAAGACTCATCTTAGATTCGAGTAAACTTAGTACCACTACCACGCACTGGACGGATCTACACGAAATGTTGACTGAGCAGTTGTTACTCAGTACTAAACAAGCACTAAATGACTGCATGGTAACCGGAGTTATTGTCCAGTCGTGCTAAGGAATGGCCGTTTCATGACACTGACTGGGTAGTAGTTCGTGACTACAGTGTAGTAGTGTCACGTCATGCTTCCTGCCGTACCTTGTTACTGTGTGGTAGTCATGGGCTACCGCGTGAACAACTTGTTCCCCTGGAGGCTGGTGGGGCACGGCAACCGTCCGCATGCGGCAGCAGTGGCATGGCAGCAGCGAGCGGGGAGCACCCACAGGCAGCTGCAGCGGTGTTGGCAGTGGGGAGGGGGCGGGGGGGGGCGAGTTGATGGAAGCAAATCAACGTGGCACAGGATGACCAGTGAAGTCCCTCAGGGCTTGGTACTTGGGCCTGTACTCTTTAACATCGTCATCAACGATCTGGACTCGCGAGTCAGATGTGAACTGGCCAAGTTCGTGGATGATACCAAATTATGGGGGAGGGCGGTCACATCACAGGACAGGCTAGGGATACAGGCTGATTTGAACACGCTGTCAAGATGGGCTGACCAAAACCTGATGGCTTTCAATGTGAAGTGTAAGGTGCTTCACCTCAGTAGGAAGAACCCTCAACATACTTACAGGCTCAGCAGTGCTACGCTTGCTAGCACCACGACCGAAAGGGTCTTGGGGGTCCTGATTGACCACAAGATGAATGTGAGCCACCAATGCGATGCTGTGGCTGGCAAAGAAAACAAACTTTGGTGTGCATCCACCGATGCATCTCAAGCAAAACCGGGGAAGTCATCCTCTCGCTTTACTTGGCTCTGGTGAGACTGCACCTGGAGTACTGCATCCAATATTGTGCCCCCCATCTCAGGAAGGATTTGGAGAAGCTTGAGAGAGTCCAGAGGAGAGCCACTCGTATGATCCAAGGCCTGGAGGGAAGGCCATACAAGGAGAGGCTGAGGGACTTGGGACTCTTCAGTCTGGAGAAGAGAAGGCTCAGGGAGGACTTGGGGGCAGCCTACAATTACATAAAAGGGGTACATCAGGACCCGGGAGAACAGCTGTTCGCCATACCTCCCCAAGGGATAACAAGGTCTAACGGCCATAAACTCCAGGAAGGCTGATTTAGACTAAACATAAGAAAAAAGTTCTTTATGGTGCGTGTGTCCAGGGTCTGGAACAAATTCCCCCCAGAGGTGGTGCAAACACCTCCTCCGGACTCTTTCAAAAAACAGGTGGATATATTTCTTGCTGGGGTCACTTGATCCCAGCTGACTTCATGCCTATGGCGGGGGGGCTGTACCCGATGGTCTCATGAGGTCCCTTCCAGCCCCTAATGTCTATGAAATCTATGACCGGTGGTCAGCGACCACTCAGTCAGCAGCGATCGGCGACCACCCGCAAATGCCGCAGGGGGTGTTGGTGGCGAGGGGGGGTGTGGCAAGTGGCTACTGCCCAGGGGCCACCAGCAGCGTCAGTAGCACTTCTTTCAGGGGGTGCATGTGCACCCGCATGCACCACCTATGTGTTGCCAATGGGCTACTGAGCAGTCGGCATCTTGTGTAGGCATGGCTACTACTGCACAATGAGCCCAACAGTTGGATTTTCCTTCTTTAGGAGCCACTAAGTCTCAAACATACATTTAGATGAAAGGATCATGGCTTTCAAGATGTGGGAAATAATTGTCTGCAAATTCATACAACATGGAAACATTACAAATAGCTTATATTGTATTGTGCATGATACTTAATACAAGTAATAGGCCTGATCTGGCAAGAGTTAACTCATTCAAAATAGTCCCATTGACACCAACTCCATTACGTGGAAGAATCCTAGATAGGAATAATAGGTCTTTTCTGCATAATACAGATGTGCACTCATTTACCATTATCATGTCTGGGTAGTCTAAATCAGATCAACAAACTAAGGTCTGTGGGCTGGATCTGGCCTGTGAAAAGTTTATCAAATTGTGAACTGGCTCAGAGAAAGAACAGTAGAGGTGTCCCCAATATCCTACCAACTGTCTTGGTTTATCTATTGTCTCTGCAGCATCTGCTAATCACTGGAGGGTGAGCCTATTTGTGGCTCATAGCTGGAGCTGGGTTGCAAACAGCAGCCCACAGTGGCAAAAACTTGTCGAGCCCTGCTCTAAATAGATTTTCTAAGTTTCAGGAAATTTTTTTACTCGGATCTAGCCTAAAATGCTGTTGATATATTGTTTATTTCTTTAATTAGTCTGGGTATTTTTTGTCCTCTTATTATGCTCTAATAAAAATGCTTTCATTTTAATAATAAACTATGAACTACTTCCTGGAATAGATTTATATAGACCTTTGCCTACATAAAGAGGTTTATTTATAAATGCCACTGACCTGGTAAAATTGTAATGAATGCTTATCAGATATTTCTCTTTCAGTTATGTTAATATTAAAAAATAGATTATTTTTAATATTATAGTACCATTTAAATCTAGGAAGTTTTAAAAAACAGGACAGATTTATGAAATTTCACTAGAAAGTAAGGGTTTGTCCTCTAGGCTACCCAATCATAAAGCTAGAATCTTAACGTTATGGATTTTTTAATTCTTAAATTTTAAATTTCTCAAACAGTATCACCACTAATTTTAGTGAGTTCATCTATATAGAACAAAAAACTTCCTTTGGGCAGGGCTTTGAATAGCATTATTTTACAAAATGACATGCTTTCTGAATTACTGGAGAAATAATAAATAAATCATGTCTATTTTGGAAAAAGAAATCCTTTTATTAATGATTTATCATCAAATGTATACAACTTGACAATTCATTTCAAAACTACAAAGAACAAATCCAGGGAACATCATATTACAATACTCTCACATTTCACACCTCAGCATGATTTTAAACCCGTCTTGTATGGAGTACTGCAGTAGAACAAAAATTGATTTCATAACATTTAAGCTTTTAACATTTCCTTATTACAGTTTACCATATACATCAAAATATCTCTGCAGAACAACTAATTAAGCACCTACATTTAAAAAAATAGATGGGCTATATGTCTCATATCTGAGACACCAAATACAGTACATGTATTACAAATCCTTCAAGAGCACGCTCACTCACAGCAGTTAAAATCTGATCAAAGTGAAATGATTGATGCAAATAATAATAAAACATAGCAATTCACTTGACCAATGCTGATTCAGACTCTGTAAAAATGGAACAAAAGAAGGAATTATACAGGCAAAAGTGCTAATAATCAATAATGTAAGCCTATTTCTCTCTTTGGTAAGTCAATCAAATCAAGTCAAGTCAAGTCAAGTCAAGTCAAACTGCAATCATTGAAGTCCAGGCAAAATTCATGCAATATTTTGCTTTTCTGTGTGTGTTAAAAGGCTCAATCATTTTCAGATTTTCTACTAAAGAGAAAGTTAAAAGTGACCCAGCACTTGCCTGTTATATTTTCTTCTCTCTTTAGATTTCATTTAAATATACTGCTAAACTAAAAATGAGGAATTTCATTTCTTTTATAAATAACTTTTGAATAAACAATTGTTTGAAAAGTTTTAAAAAATAAACACCATAAATAACAAAATATACATAATTTCAATGATGATATTTAGTTCCTAATAGGTTTTACCCCAAAATACATCACTGAATAAATAACCTTTGGACTTCTCCAACATTTGGTGAAACGTGAACTGTTCTCAGATAAGAATTTAATTTGAAGAATGAGGAAGTACCGTTCATTACCTTGTTTTAGTAAAGCTTTCATTGTACAGGCAGACTTTCAGTAATTTAACCACAAAATAACAGAAGCATCCATCTACCATATAATATGGCGGATGTTTCCCATTAAAAATAAGGCATTTAAAAGAACACCAAGTTGAAACATTTAAACTTAAAAAATTATAAAAGCAAACTCAGGAACTTGAAAACAAAGAAGATTTTCTGAAGAAGTACCAACCCAGCCCTGTCCTTCATGGTTCAGGATACTAAGACAAAGGTAATGCATAGTTTTCCCTAGATAGTGGAGGGAGTGTCATTTTCTGTTGAGCAACTTTAAGGTTAGAAGGCAAGCGGAGTCTAAGGATAAAGGAGATGAATGAGGGTGAAGAAACCTTGGTAATAAATCCTCCCAAGGAGGAAATAAACATCCTACAGGGCTGCACCTATGCAATCATGTACTTGAAAAATAGTCTTCCTACTCTTGATGGGCCTGACAAACATGAGCAATTAAGGAGAAGAAAAAAACTCCCAGAGGTCATACTTCAGTTACCAGGCTATTATCTTGCCCCAGCCCCTTCTTCACCTGTAACTGAAGTTATTATAAAGGCAAATGGGAAAATTGCAGGCCACATTAGCAAAGCAGCTACATAACAGAACGCAGGGTGCTACACTGTCACAACTCCAGCATGAATATATAGATATGTATATGTGTGTGCATGCGCACGCGCGCGCACACACACACACACACTTCTGCAATAAGACAACAGGTGTTCTTGAAGCTTAGGTTAAACCAATTTGCAGTTTTTAGGAGAGCCCATTTAAACCATTAGCAAATGAAACATCAATTTTAACAGCTCTGTTATTAGAAAACTACAAATAAGGAAACAGACCGTTCATTTCCTATTCATATCTTGAATTACTTTACAGAAAGTGTTAGGCAGAATGCTTCTCTACTCCTTGTTTGATTCCAAGCACAAGATGCAGAAACCAGTTAAATTGTACAGTCCAGCCTTTATCTCTGCAAACCTCAATCTGATCAAGGAAATACTTTTTAGCATCTTCCTCACTTTTACCTACTGTCAATGCATCTCTGATATATTCAATATCTTCCTTGCTGGTTAACTGGGGCATTCCAGTCATTAGCATCATGGAGAACAGAATGATCAGCAGGTTGGTGTGATGTCGAAGAGCTAGATAAGCCTTCACACAAACATCCTAGAAAAAAGGAAGAAATTTTCTCTCTTTATTGACTGAACATGCTGAAAAAAAGCTCATTTTAACAGCTTGCTCAAATCTGAATTATTCAGCACCAAATCAACCATACTTAATTCTTAAAATAAGCCTGAGATACTAGGGTTCATTTTAGCAGAAATACTTAGCTAATCTCCCTATCTGCTGGTTCAGTACTACTTCACACACTTGCAGATTTGGGGTGTAAATTTGGGGAGGTATTGTAAAATCTGAAGGTCCTTTTGTAACAATGCTGTAGAAAAAAAATGAAACATAAAACTTCTGCCTCGCAAAAAAGCTCATGTTTAATTTCCCTAATGTATAATAAATGCCACTAACTAAAGAAGCAGAGATGATTCATCACCTCTCTTAAAATTGGTAGTGCTCCATTTATAACAAGAGTCTTCACAAAACTCCAAGAAGAGATGCACCTTTGGGGCAGTTTATTTATTTTTTATTTACCTGTAAACTTTACAAAGATGATTACTCGTTTAATGGAGAACTTTTTTCAGGCTCAAGCTTCTGAAGAAGGTTTATCCAGCTGATAGATAGCTATTATTTTCACCAGCTAGAGTATTAAGCGCTTTTGCACCTCTTTTGCTGAAGAAATGTTGGATTTCTATATTCTACTGTCATACTGAAGTCAACAGAGGAAAAAATGTTCGTATGATAATTGCTTTACCACTTGTCTATACACTCTGTTTGCACTTCATTTAGAAGCTTTAGAAGGACAAACAATTCCTATAGGCCAGAGAATTTACAATACTTCTGAAAAGATTATTTAATGGAAAGGAACAAATGTATTCACTGAATCCAATTATTTTACATTAAATTTATACCACATTTATTTTTAGAAATACACCTTTTGAAAACTGTTTGAATGAACCATCACAGTGAAGCTTTCCTATAAGCTTCATTATTTCCTATAAGCTTCATTATCCTATAACCATCATTATGCTAAAGTTAAGCTAAAGAATACATTTCAGTAATGGAAAGATAAGGTGCTTCCTAAGAAAGTTGCATTTATTAAACAAAAAAAAATCCAAATAAGTGAACCTCCAACCATTTAGATTCTCTTTAAGATCAGACATTATGCACATTTTAAATGAATTAATTTAAAATACCTTAGAAAACATTCAACAATACAAATAGTTCCTGGTAGCTTCTCACAAAGTACCATCAAAACCCTGCCACAAAGTTCATTTTTAATCAGGTTTAAATCTTTTTCCCCAGTGACAGACAGAAATATATTTCACTTTAACAAATAAACTAAACTAAAACTTAACTGTTGAACCATGGGTTATGTTGACCAGAGTGGAGCTTGTAACAAAAAAAATAATTTAAGCTTAACTTTGTAGGAACAAGTGTATCTCCTTAACATCAGAAAGGAGGATTTTCTACTTCTTTATATTAACTTTGAATGAGAAACGGTTGTCACAAAAGCTGAACGCTAATTAGCTTCTCCAAGGAGATGAGAGAAAATGACATATATAGTCATATAAAAAAAAGTTGTTTCCAGGGAGACTAGGCATAGCCGGTGTCAAGAAGAGAGGAAAAATGAAACAGTGGCTTCATAAGACCTCAAGCTTGGTGTCTCAAAGGATATTAAGGTTTTAAGAATCTGCGATGACTTGTAAAATTAACTGTTTGTAAGTGAACTGAACAGAGTTTTGAACAGATGCTCACTAGGGAACCAGATTTCTATTTTGCAGGAGGGGCAGAGAGAGGTGAAATCAACAGCACATGTATGCAATCAAAGGTATGAAAAACGTTGCCACAGAAAATGACCATAAAAGGACCTTAGAGAACAAAAAAAAACAACCCAACCCAAACTGAATGAAGTGAAAGCACAGACATAAAAAACCCTCATACACACAGTGAAGGAACAACTGATATTTTTGATGGCCCAACGCTGTTGTAGGCATTAATCTTGTAATTTTTTTGATCTCTTTCTAATGTACATCGTCCAAATTTACATATATAAACCTTCTCTTCCCACCTCACTTCCAAAGGATGAAGAGTTACATATTTTCCCTGTTGCCTTTTCTTAAGAATCATATACAAGATTTGACTACAAGAGGTGTTCAGGTGGCACTTGAAAAATATAATATTGCATTATCAACTCTGTAGCAAAGTAATTAGCTGGGTGGATAAAAATCAACAGTTTTAAAAATAAAAAATAGGATTTTTAAAATTTAAATCAGATTTTTTGATTTAATTGTGTTTTTAATTTTATTTGTTAAGATGCTTTAAAAAAAAGCCTATATATAGTTTTAATTTAAGATACGTTAAAGCTCAAAGATATCATCATGGAATAGGGATTATAACTTCTAATTACAGATTAGTTGAGACAATATATTCACTTAACATTTTCCAAAAAGTTTTATAAATAGGTCACAATAGGCCATGGACTACATTAAAGGCCCAATCTTATGGGGTTCCTAGAGGCTCCTCTACAGATTAGTAAAGACTAAATAAAACCACTCTACTCAATGGGACTCGGTGCTCAGTCTCTAGAAGATCCCATTAAGCATCTCTGTGATGCTTAGTTTCAGTTCTCAAACTGTGGATTTGTATCTCCAGAGACAAAATTCTTGTTAACAGCAGTATATGGAGGTGAGACAGAACAGATCTTATTACCCACCCATCAGCTCTCTTGTCTCTGAATATGTGTACACACAATCAAGCCCTTACCTCTCTCTAAAAGTACAAAGTTTCAAGAAATTAAATGAATAAAGGATATCAAGTAACACAAACGCACTTTTTGTAGAAAATAATGATTAAATCGAGGCTTCCTGACCAATGATTTACAGTGTGATTTAAATCAGGGGTTCCCAAAGTTTTTATGCCACAACCCGACGACCCACAGCCCAGAAGTGGCCATAGCCTGGCAAACCATGGCCCAGCAGTCAGAGCTGACTGCAGCTGGAATTTCCAGCCGGAAGATGGGTAAAGATACCCCCACCCCTGGACGGGGGGGGGGGGGGAAAACCCCCACCCCTGGGCGGGGGGGGGGGGGCCAAACTCTGTGCTGCCCCAGGCCTTGCAAAAGGAGCTGCGGCCTCTCCGCCTGGCTCTGGGGGGCCGTGGTTTGCCAGTCCGCAGCCACTTCCGGTCTGGCAACTGACCACGCTACGGACCAGCAGCCAAACTGCCACGGCCTGGCACTGGGCTGCGGCCCGGGAATTGAGAACCCCTGATTTAAATCATAATTTAAACTGATTTGATTTAAATCAAATCCATCCTGATAATTAGTAATCAAAATAAAAATAAAGCCAAAAGGCAATGGAGGTATTGCAAAGGAAAAATGTAAGTAAAGTAAAAAGCAACGCTTTGGCAGACAAAAAGCCGCAGACCATAGAAATCTGAAATAGAACTGGAAGTGGACAGTCTCAGGGTTTTAAAAAATTAAAGGAGGAACAGTTCTCTGATTCACAGAGCCTGTTGTCTTAGCTTCTGAAATTCTATATTAAAGAAGTCCCCCTATTTCTGGAAAGGTGTTACTTGATCCCAGCCAAAAAGCTAGAGAATAAGAAAAATGCAGATAAGTACCATTACTGTTACCACAATGGACATAAAGAACAATGAAGGAACTCTAAGAAGTATGTAAGGTAGCCAGAAAATTCACCTCTATGAGCAATAAAATATTCTTCTTCTCAGTTCCAGCCCAGATGTCCTGAAATGCACCTTTGTGGTAAAGGCACAGCATATCAATAATGCTTTCAGCAAAATAAGGCTTCAAAACACAATATATTTTAGCACCTGAATTCCACGAAATATGAGGGGGGTGGGGAAAGTAAAGCTTAGGCTAAGCTCTGATAGAATGATCAAGAAAATATTATATCAGGAGACTGTTTCTAGCTTTGCCATGCCATGGATAATTTAAGAAGAAGAATAGGTAACTATGTGTTTTACTGATTAACTGCTTCTAAGATCTGCAATATGACCTGTGACTAGGGTTATTTTTAAATGCCTAATTTTTTTCTCTTCCAATTATTTTAAATAGGAAGAAACACCAGATCATTTAAAGACAAAAGTTTATCTGAAGAACAACATACTATGAGGCTGAACATCAAATTAATAAGAGATAATGTTAAAAGTTAACAATAAGGATCAATAATAAGACTTCTGTATTAATATTTTAAAAGACGGTCAGCAGTCACAATGAATAACACACTTATTTACAAAGGGCTAAGATGTACCTTGCCCACTGAAAATGAAAAGGTACTGTCTTTTCTTAAACCCACCCCCCTAAGAATATAGCTTACTAGAGGAAAAGATCTTATGTGATGCTTTCTTGGCACATGAAATGTATTTTAATTTTCTTTTTATTGATTTAAAACAGATGACCCATTCAAATAAGCATTGCCAAAGTAGCAATTTAGAGACAGACTATAATACTGCAGAACTGCACCCTGTAGTTAAACTTTAATCAGTCTTTATCCATCTCTCTCATGTAAAAAAGATACATACTTGACATTTCATATGAATGTGATTGTAGATCAAGAAACTATAAACTGAACTTGTACCTTTTATTTGGTTATGACTACTAGTAAAAATTGGACTGGTGGCCTTAAAGCTCAAAATGTCTATCTGAATTAGTTAGCAGTAATTTAACTCCTAGGCTTAAAGACTGTGGGCTGAAGGCCCACACCAGAATTTATGTTGATCTGCACTAGTGATTTGTTATTAGCAGCCCTTAGGGGATATTGTCCAGTTGCTGGTACACATTGGCTCAGTGCATCAACGAGGTCTGGGAACTGGCCCAGTGGGTAGCTATGCAGGCAGCAAATTGTATAGATGCCAGCACTGCTTTGCACTGGTGTGGCAGCATTTACTCTGGTTACACAAATCTCAAGCCTACTCAAGCCTGTACTTAATGTCAGTATTTCATTGCAATTATAGGAAGGTTCAGCTTACTGGAAGATATACTGAAACAAAAATCACTCAGCCATACAATTGGAGTGAAAGTGTGATGGCTCAGGCTTTCTAGTACTTGCTTTTAAACGTGTTTAGCCATGTTACAGTGCAGGTATATCTGTGGGTCACTTGGAATTCGGCACTGCTTAAAACAGTGAAATTGCTTCAGTGCTGGAGCTGTTTTGGATTAAAAATGGAGGACTGTATGGGTTTATTCCTAAAAAATCCTATATCAATATATACTTAGCTACTTTAAAAAGCATAACTTTAAAAGTGGCAGCAGTTTGTAGAACTCAGTCTTCAATGACTTAATGTCACAAAACTACCATAGAACAATAAATTCCTATTCAGAAAAAGCTACTTAGAACCTGGTAAGTAGGCATGCAGCCCAGGACCGGCCCAAGAATTTGAAGAATGCCCAGCCCCCATTGGGCAATCCCAGTCAAGAAAAGCAAGGCTCCTCATTCAATTTTCCTGCACAGTAAGGAATGCCAAGAGCCTTTTACATGCTTTGGAATTCTAGTTCCTGTAACTGGATAAGAAATTTTGGCACTCAGCTATGCCTAAAATAATCTAGACTATTATATTTCAGCAGATTTCTATTAACAGGAGTTCTAGGGACTCTTGGATGTTGAAGACTATGGAACCATTAATGGATAGAACTTTGCTTAATCAACTGATTTACATCAAAAGATTGATTCTTACCTGAAATTTATGGAAATGCTGACTTGTTTTCTTTCCAGAAGTGCCCATGACAAACAGAAAATCTGGTGTCAACACAAAAGGGACTCTTTCCTTATTAATTCCAAGGAAACTTTTGTAATTCCCAAGAATATGGCCAAAGTCAATGTGAAAAAGATTGCCTTTATAAAAAGAATTCAAGATTAGCTTGGGAAATAACAACCAAGCAGTACTGACCATTACCATTCACAAAACTATTGTCAATAAATTAATTTGGGTTTACTTTACTATATGCTAGCCCCACTATGCAAGAGCAGACATGTTTTGGTTTTTTTATTCAATCAGCAGGTCCTCTCAGTAAAATATTATTGACTGAACTTATCTTTGGCATCCTTTAATAAGCAAGCAGAACCATTGCATCTTATAATATAAATATCACAAGTTACTTTGTAAAAACTTATGTCTACACTATATATCCTTAAACAAAATCCCAATGGAATACAGTAGGACTAAACACCTTCTGGATTTTTTTTATAAACCATCTTACATGTTTCTATAGTGCACATAGTGTATCCTTGCTAATTCAATAGGACTTCTGATAAAGATATAGAAATATCTGTCTGCTGGAAGCCAAGACATTTAATTAACTACTCAATTTTTCCTCAGACCCAATCCTCACTGAGCTTCACTAGACTTGTATTCCTGTGCCCAAAGGCAGAATAGGGTGTAAAACTTGTCACAGATTTGGTTTTATTTTATTTTTATTGATGAAAAAATACAGCTCTCCATGAGATTCTATAAGCTTGTTACAAACTCCTATTATTAAATGCATCTCCATTATGGAAGTTCTCAAAACCCAAATGATTTACAATCTGTAGGTTACAGATGGACTGGAGCCATCAAACAATTCTGCTTGTGTTGGTGAAGGTAATGCATAATATCAGTTAAATATGCATCTAATAAAACAGACCAGTAAATTCCAATATATAACTCTTAAAAAACAAAACAAAACAAAAAACTTACCTGATTCTGTAATCATAATGTTGTCGTTGTGTCTGTCTCCTATTCCAAGTACAAAGGTTGCCACACAGTAACCAGCACAAGAATAAACAAATCTTTCCACTGCTGCCTGAAACTAGTATGTAACATAAGTTTTAGGGAGGTTAAAATTTTTATGCTTAAGACTTAAACACTCCTTCAGTAATTCCCTTAAACGGTTATCTTTATTTTTGGTTCAGCCCATCAAGGGTCACTGTCCATTTTGTTAACAAGTAACAATGAAAAAATAGTAAGAAAAGTCCATGTATTACAGTTCTTCTTTCAAGGTCTGTATAAAGATTACGAACAGGATCCTGCACTGCATTCCCCTTAGGCTCTGCTCCTAACACAATATACACATGAAGTAGCTATATACTGTTATCCCATTTCACAGAGCTGAACACTGGGCTGAGAACTCCAGGGACTTGACCAAACTCAGTAAGCAAACCAATGCTAGGCTCCTAAGTGACTTAGAAGCACACACCCTATTTAAAAGTCACTTTGGTGCCAGCTGGAAGAGTCAAAAACTCACCTTTTCTTCAATAACACATCTTTCTTTAAGCCACTGGTTTAATATTTCATCCTTAAATGCACCTGTGTTGCCAACTGTACTTTGTTGAATTTTAGCAATTGTTGTAGCATCCTTCACAATTTCAATCATTCCTACAACAGACAAAAATGTCATCTCTTAAAGTACTTTAATAAAATACAGCTGTATAGTTACATATTTAAACCAATGCTATTTGCATACTTTTTAATGAGCTACAAGGTTGCATGAAGCTCTTATATTCTGTTGAGGTATTTGCATTAAGCTGTTGCCATTTCATAATTCAAAGTCTTTATGTATTAATGCAACTCCACACCACAAATGGTTGCAACTGTAGTATTAGGAAATTGCTCCATAAACTGGAATCTGTGCTAGTATTTGATACTCTTCCTGCCTCTTCCCTCCTCTTACACAACTCTGGGGAAGGAGCCTGAGGTTATTTCTCTTCTTCCCGATTCTTGGGATGAAAGCTGATGATTCTGGTGCTGTGCTCCCTGCACTGTTTCAAGTGCCTCACAGCATAGAGAATATGTCTGTGGTCAGCATCCTGTCTGTCCTGCCCAAGACGGGCAAATTTCTAGCCATCCAAGCTCGTACACTACATAGATAACCATAGCACCTGAGGCCCTCAGAAGGATAATACAGCAGGTTTTTCTTCCCCCATGCTCCCTGATAATTCCTCCTCTTGGGGAAATTCTTTTGCTCTGTGTGTTCTTCCCTCCCCCTGTAAATAACATTATTTTGGAAAAGCGAGGTTAAAAGCCATTTCATATTGCACGTGCAATATCTGTAACTGCCAAGGTTTGTAACTAATCTCCCCTGGGTTCCAGCATCTCAGCCTAGTTATATAGAGAACTAGTGAACTGCCCATCAAGAATGATGGTGGGGATGGGGATTGCACTGTGCTGCCACCACCCTGTGCCCCTGCTGCCTCCAAGGAGCGGGGCCAGTGGGGGAGAGGGGGGGAGGCGCGGCAAGGCCAGCGGTGCTCCGTCCCCTCTGCCATGCAGCGCTCCATCCACACCATCATTCTTGATGGGCAATTCACCCCTCATGCAGCACTGGCTGGAGCCACGCCCTGCTGGGAGCCACACACCCCAAGAGCATTATGGACAGACACAAGACAGATGAACCAAGCCCTTATATATATAATTCTTTTTTCTCTGCTCCTGACCCTCTCTCCTCTGGCTCTCCCCAGGCAGCTGCTCTCCATCCTGGTGATGATTTCAGCCAGGTGTTGAGAAATCAAGAAAATGCTCGTTTCAATTTGACATTAAGGAAATTTAGAAGTGGGTTTTGTCTCCATACTGCTGGAACATTATTAATCTGTGCTGACTTACAAACATTCCCTGTAACTTCATACATATTTAAATAAAATAGGGGAGAAGAATGGGCTTTGGGGAAACCCACACATGAATATTTTTGAAGAACGTGTCAGCTCCATGAGATACCAAACCAGTACAAAGAGCCACGCATTGAAGGTTAATAGTTAAACAGAGACTTCTTTCAATATCCTGAGCAGAGGCTTTTATCTGATCAGTCACGCCCCTTTCTGAGGTGCTGAAGACATGCTAAATTCTTAGATCTGCCATAAGACAGAAAATCCCCTTAAAGCTATGAATTACAAGACGATACATTTCTTTGAAATTAAAAAAAGGAAGGTTATTAAGAACCCATAAAAGAAAAGAGAACAATATGGTTTATAAGCTAAACTCAAGGACCTTGTATAAACTGGCAGATATTTTCCCCAGGTATTTTTATGTGATTGGATTGTTTAAACATAAATTTATATGCAAATTCAGCTTTAACTTTTCTAGCACTATTAGGTTTTCTAATAAAATGCCTCTAATGAGAGAGAATAAAATTTCAAAACATTTCATATTGGCAATAATGGTAAAATACATGTACCATACTAACAATTTTACTCACAAGTCATTTTAAATTTCCTTTTTCATTTTAATAGAAATTTAACACTATTTTCTCTTTTTTTAAAAACATAATATCTAGCTATACCGAGAAAGGGAAACCCCTTTGTCACACCACCTTGCGTTTTATCAGCATGAATTGAAAATTGCTATGTTGCTTAGAAACCATGATGTCATGAATGACTTATGCATGTGACCTAAAATGAACATTGCTAAAGCCTTTTTACTGCAACTGAATCTAGTCATATCCCTCATATTTTACAGAAAAGGTTTCCAGAGAATTCTTAAATTTACTGGTAATCATATCCTCCTACCTATAAAACCATTTTTGTTGCAGAGAGAGGAAAGTAAGGGAGAAATAACAAGTCAATACAAATTTTGAAGATATCTGCCCATTTGATTGCTACTGTGCAGCCTGCTATGTGGATGCAATCCATGCAACTCAGTCCTAGCTGCTTTTACATGTCTGCAGGAAATCAGTGGCTTTAGGCCCTGGCTGCACTCAAAAGGTTCATCAGTACAGCTGTATGGCTATATAGCTATGCCAGCAACACCCTCTAGTGGAGACGTACCATATACTACTAAACAAGAATTATTCTAACAGACCACATTAAACCAGTTCCCTAAACAGAATACGCTAATACTAAAAAAAATTCCTGTCAGAATATTATCTCTATACTAGGCTTTCTGCTGGCCTGGCTCTGTTGGTTAGCTAAATAACATAGCTATGCCAATAACATTTTAAGGGCAGATAATATATCAGGCAGTCCTTAAAGCTTCATGGTACTGGCAACAAAGACAGGCAGAAGGCAGGGTAGAATTGCACCTTACAGATTAACTAAATCAGAGTTGCATAGCATAAGCTTTCATGAGCAGCAGCTTATTTCATCAGATGCTGCGAAGGGTCCCTATGGCAGGGTCCCTTCACAGCAGTAAGCTACTACTCATGAAAGCTTATGCTATGCATCTCCAATTTAGTTAGTCTATGGGTGTGTCTATATGAATCACTGTACTGTGCATTAAGCTAATCTAATGCACAATAAAGCATCACCTTCTACACATGCACATCAATTATTGTGCTTTAAATCAGGCTAATGTGTCGTCTGCTACTACCAATACGTACAGGTACAGTATAACCTAATAAATCCAGATATCAAAGATCCAGAACTCTTTTTAAAAATACACTACTACTGAATGTGGAGGTGGAAGCTTGCACGTGGCAGCCACTGCAGCTGCCACCATCCGCCACCCCGTGCCACTGCTCTCTGTGCGGCCACTGCTCCGGGACCAGCCGCCATTCCCCCCAGCCCTCCAGACAAGGAGGGGGAAGCTTGCACGCAGCAGGTGCCACCACCGTCCAGCACCCCACCTCACATGTGGCCACTGCTACCCCCCGCTCCATGACCAGTCGCTGCTTGAGTTTCAAAAATTGAGAATTTTCAAGTTTCCAGCAGGTGCTTGGTCCCAAGCAAGTCAGATTTATGAGGTTATACTGTACTAGAAAAATGACACATTAACTAATGTGCTAGACTGCAAATGTAGACCCTGACATGGACCAATTTGCTCTCAGTCAGCCCAGGCAGCAGGGGACCACTGCTGCCTGGCTAAGCCCCGATCTCTGTGGGACAGGGAGAACTGTTCTGGCTGAAAGGCAGCTGCCTCCCTGCCATATGGAAATCACAATGGCTTTCTCCACCACACAGCTGGGAGGCAGCTGCCCTGCAGCTGGGACAGTTCTCCATGCCCCACGGAGAGAGCTCTCCATGCTCCACATGGCTCAGAGGCAGCTGCTCTGCAAGCAGGGCAGCTCCCCCACCCTGCAGAGATCAGGACAAGTCCTGATCTCCATGAGGCTGGGAGACAGCTGTCCTGCAGCTGGAAGAGTTCCTCCCACCTGAAGGTAATAGGGGCTGGCCCTGATTGCTGCATGGCTGGCAGGCAGCTGCCCCCAGAGCCAGGACAGCACCTAGAACTGACCCCCCATACCCCCTGTTAGCCCTGGCTGCTGCAGGGGGGCAGAGCAGGGCAGGACAGTTCCCATTGTTCAGGCACATGTTCAGATGCATGCCCAGGAGCACGTGAATGAACCTGAATTTTCTTCATAGAAAATTCAGGCACGTTAACTGCATGTGCAGATGTGCCCCACAAGGTGCAAAGCTACCCTGCTTCCTGCCTGACTTCAGCCTAACACAGCTAGCTACCTCTCACTGGCAACAAAGTCTTTGAAATTTTATCTTTGTCCAAGATAGGTACAGAATCCTCTTGGCTTAAGCCTGGTAAGGCAGCAGGTGGACATAGAGAAAAACAGAATTTCGGATTTAAAGGGGCAGGGAAAGGCAGTGTATAGACTGATGTATCCAGTACCAGGAGGAGCTAGGGATCCTGGGAAAAGTGAGGCCTTTCTCGAGAAATGTGAAAAATATTGGGTAAATGCCATGCATGAGATCCCTTTTGTTATTGTAAACCATGCCTCTGACTGCTCCATTTCTAGGAATAAAACATTATTTTATTTTGAAGAAACTGACTGATTTCACTGCTTTTTCATATACATTATAGCTCCCCAAAGGGAAATCTAGAACAGGAGCCAGATCTATTTGGACCAAAGGAAGAAACATGGTTGGTAAAAGTGTAAGACTGTGGACACAGCCTAACTACAGCAAAATCCCTATTATCCGGCATGAGTAGGGAATGCTGGGTGCCAGTTATGTAAAAATTCTGGTTATCTGAGGCAGATAACGCGGAGTGGGGGGAAGGGGTGGCAATGGCCGCTCACAGAGCAGTGACAGCACAGGGTGGTGGGTGGCGGCAGCTGCCACCGTATACAAGCTTTCCTCGCCCCCCCCACAGCCGGTCAGAAGTTCCGGTTAGTAGAGCATCCCGACTTATAGATGCCAGATAACATGGATTTTACTGTACATGATAATAGCACTCAGAAATGCAAACACTGGGCCTGTCTTTCGAAAGGGGTGTACACAGAGGGCTTGGGAAAGGGTTCAAAGGTCCAACTGACCCTGGAGCCAACACACACACACACACACACACACACACACACACACACACACACACACTAAACCTTACATACTCTGGAATAATTTTTACTCATCAAATGCACCATACCTATTTTGTTTCCAGTAGAAATGCATCCATATGGTAGCAAACACAGGTCCAAGGATTCTGCTTCCCAAATGGACTCCATGATTCGTAGAATCTAATAATAAAAATGCCAGGTATGTTCACAGTTCTTAATCATCATTGCTTTTGTATCACTTTATAGCCCAGTGGTTCCCCATCTTTCTAGATTCATGGCACCCCCTCTCAGATGCAATGCTTCTCTCATTTGTTTTTGGAGTATAGAAAAAGAGAGAAATTTTCCTGTTGCAAAGAACTCAGAAAGACCACAATAGGGCAGAAAGTTTTTAACATTGTGGATTCTCATTTGATGTCTCTGGGTTTATCTTATGAATCCAGTTTGCAGATCTAACACTGCATGGCACCCAGGAGAATTCTTGAAAGGATCTCAAGGCACCTCAGGGTGCTGTGGCATTGAGTCATTGTTATAGCCATTGTAGTCTATAAACAAACAACTACTTTGTCCAGACTCTTGAGATAATAATTGTGGCTGATAGTTTAACAAGGTTCAAAAAAGAGGCACTAGAAAATTCACGAATGATAGAATTATTCTCTATCAGTTCATTTTAAGCAAACCTCAGAATGGGAACTTCCTAGGCCTCTGAAGGCTGGAAGCCATAGAAGGGGAGGGGCAGGGGATGGATCTTTCTGAGTATGCCCTGCTTGAGTTCTCTCTCCTTAGTATCCACTCTCTGCCACTGTGAAAGACAGGGCTAGACAGACCTGACCCACTAGACATTTCTTATAAGACCAGTAAATAGCATTTTCTTAATTTTACAAGCAAATAAACTAAGCCCGAAAGAATAATAAATCTACCTAAGGCCACAGAAACAGTCCATGGCAGAACCAGGATTTAAACTTCTTGGCTCTCAGTCCTGTTCTCATCCAAATCTCTGCCTTTATAAAAATACGATCATTTATTATTTACCCTTCTTTAACAGACCAGAACTGAATACATTTACAAATACAAACTTTTACATAAATCCTCCCAAAACACTAATATTTTTAAACTGCTCTATCTGGGCAATATCAGAGGCAATAGGAGGTTCCTATAGGAGAAATATAATCATTTACACTCTTATCTTTGAAAATTTATAACAAGTCTCCTGATATTTTTCCTGTAGCCAGCAAATGAGCCAAGTTAGCCAAAATGACAGGTTAATTTTATAGAATGGAGGTTTCAAATTAATGAAAAAACTTAAGGGGTGCGTCCACACATGCAAGTATGTGCGCTTGCAGCAGCTCAAATAGAAGCAGTGCAAATTTGAGCCAGGGCTTTTTGCCTCAGTGCGTGTGCCCAGCCATGCATGATGCTGTGAGGCAAATTGTGCCACTTGGAGCAAGGAGGTGAGCAGGGGGCTGCACCCGGTTGCAGGCAGAGCAGGGGGGACTAGAGCTGGGCGTGGGCCAAGCAGGGGGCCGTAGCCGAGCAGGGAGCTGCACCTTGCTGCGGGGCAAGGAGGAGAGGCTGGAGCCATGCAGGGGGAGCAGCGGCAGACCCACCCCTCCCAAGCTGCCCCCCCATGGTCCCCTGCACCCTCAGTAGTCCCCCTTACTCCTCCAGCTCCCCCCACCCCCTACTTACCTGGCATGGAGCCCAGGTCATGGTTGCTGCAGGCAGCGTGCTTCAGCACTGGGGAAAGGGCCAACCACAGAGACGCTCCGGCAGGCTACCAGAGCGTCTCTGTGGAGGACCAAGCCTCCGGTTGCCTCGGGGCATGGTCCAGGACTGCGCCCTGCCCCACTTTTTTCTGCCGCAGTTTTTTTTGATCCCTGGGGTCTAATTTTGCCCCCATGCTGCGAATTTGCAGGGTGGGGAATGTTTCCTTGTCCCTGCATGTGCCTCTTGCAGCATCTTAAAGGTCTTTGAGATGCTGCAAGACGCACATATGCGGTCATGTGGATGCATCCAAGGTGTCAGATCCTAAAGCATAGCCCGAGTACACAAGGCACACATCAGGAGACACAAAATACCAGTAAGACAAAAGAGGGCCTGATTCTAACTAGGGCTATGGTATCGCACCACAATAGAGTTTAATAAATAAAGATGCATTCATGCTTTGGCTGGATAAAAAAATAGAGCATATGTGAAGAAAAAGGTATTACAAGAGCTATAAGAGTAAAGTATTGATTTTAGATTATAAAACAAATAGTCTAATAATCATACCTGCAAAATAAGCATGTCCTGACGGAGGTCATCTCCATGTTTGAAGATAATGCCTATAGTTTCATTTGACAAAGCTGTGGGATCTGCACATTTAAACTCAAGCCAGAGGGGCTTTTTCTTGGATGCCATTACTTTGCATTTTTCAATCTGTAAAAAATAAACCAGTCACTGAGCTTTTTTCCTTCTGTAGGTACCATCAAGTCAACACAGCTCATGTAGAAGAAGCTGTGAATACCGTTCCTTCTTTGGCATCATCAACAGAATTGTTTATTAAGTTTCAAATTGTTACACTCAGGGAAGCACAGTCAAGGGGTGCAGGGGGGTGTGTGTGGGGGGGGGGAGTATTTCACTTGCCAAAAAAGTCTAATTTAACTTACAGAACTTTCAATATTGATGGCAATATGTGAGCTGGAAAGAGCCAGGCTAAAGTGGTCTTGGCTAGAAAAAAGATCACTTTGTATTTACAACTCAAGAATATGAGTTTCTGAAATCATAGGGAGACAAATATGGAACCATGCAATAGCATTATTAGTCAATCAGCAGAACATAAGTATATTTATAGCCTCCTCCTCCCCCCACAAAATTCCTGTTGACATCAGAGGGTGTGAAATTTGTCCTTAATCTCTTGATTGTAGTTGGTTCCCTTGGGCAACTCTTTTAAACAAAACATTATGGTAGCACAACAGTGGTAATGTAATTGTATATAAAATATGAAAATAATCATCTCCCCTACCATCAATTCAACTTTAAGACTGAGAAATCCAGCACCGAGGCTCAGGAAATTCCATTATTTAATGTTTTTCCAATATACTGGTAGTTAGTTAAAGGATGTGATAGTCTTTGCAGAGCTGTTTTCTGGGTTTACAAAAGCTTAGCTTTGAAACTGGTTTAAGCACAGCCCTTTATTAAAGCCATTAGCAGTGAAAGGACATCTCAAACTTGAAGTCTTTCAATGTAACTTAATTATTCTAAAAAATCTGGACTACATGCTTAGGTGTTAAGCCACCTGCTTTAAACCTTAATATTTGGCTGAAAACTTCAGCCTAAAAGGGTTTTATAGCAAACTGAAAAGTGCATTGACTGGAAGATGAAATTCAAACTTAACTATAGTGACCATTATGATTTGTGATCAAAGACATTTTATTGTTTCAAACGTAGTGTGCAGAAAATAAAAGGAAGATATAGTCTAGGAAAAGCCAGGCCAGGTAAATGAGCTGTCTTGCCACCAAGGCGACTGTGACCGATATATGGTATCTGTGTGTCTCATAAACCACTAAATTGATCTGACAGTATCCCACCACTTCATTCTCTTAATTTGGCAGACGTGTACTTGTGATCATGTTTCTTTTGCAGCAATTACTATTTTACCATCTATCTAGGCACTTATAATACACAGCATTTACATTAATCAAGTATGAAGGAGGACATGTTTATACCAGAAAGCATTCTGCAGAAAACAGATTCTGTGACTGAACTGCATTTGAAGCATAAGCATAAAATGCCTGCAAACAAAAATGTTATCTATGCCTTCTTTCCACACTAAACAGCAGAGTATTTTCTGTACTTGTACAAACTCCAACTCCAAATGCTTTCTAGAATTAAATGATATACTTGCAGAAAGAAACAGCAAGATAATTGAGAGGAAAAAATCGGGGGGGGGCAGGAGAGGGAAAGAATGTTTATGCTGATTTAAATATGAAAAATGTTTTTTGTTAAAAAGATACAGGAAGATTATTTTGAAAGGCAGAACAAGAAGTTTCTATAACAATTGCTCAATGATATGGAGGTTCAGAGGTGAGACTCAAAACCAGTGAAGCTGGCTGAAGTAGTTCTACAGAGATTTCTAGATAAAAGAAAGCCAAATACAACCTAGATCCTGAAACTAATGGGAAGCCAGAATCATCTGAGGTTTAGTGTCTGGGGAACAGCCTTATTGCAACACAAGACATAGTCTTCTGCTTCTATCAGTTCTAATCCTGGGACTTGTGAAGGAATAGAAGAGTCAAAGAGAAATGAGTTAAAGGCATGGATGAGGATCTCAGCAGAAGTCAAGTGACAGGGGGCAGTGACACATAAGATAAAGCAGTTGTATTACAACTTGGGAGTCCTCTCTCTTAGAATTCCATTAAGAGCCCTTTCCTGTTTGACAAATCTATGGAGATCTGGTCCAGCATGGGCTATTAAGCAACCATCAGGGATGTAACTGTAAGGATATGACAGGACTACATATGACCCGTTTCTTGTACTCTTCCCCTAAAGCACCTGCTATTTACCAAGGTGAGAGACCGAGTACTGGGCTAGTTGGACTTTTGATCTGCTCCACTGTTGCAACTCTTATGTTCCAATTCCATCGGCAAAGTTATAGAGATAGATTGGTAAATCAAATTATTTGCAGAGAAAACATTTTCAAACTATGAAGAATATGTAAAGAATCAAATACGCTTACCACCAGTGCCCCTGCTCTCAGTCCAGGGTCATATGGTACTCTGAAGCTTTCTGGAAGTTTGTTGTTCTGCAGTTTTTCCAGCTTTTGTTTAAGCTGTGTGATAACTGCAATTACAAAAAAGATAGCCACAGTTATTGGGTTCAATAATCAGAAGCAAAATGATGCACCTCATCAGACCCATTACGTCTCAAGACTTGTTTGAAGAATCCTGTTTTTAGCAGCTTTTTTAATTGCTTGAGTCTAGGACTTCTGGACAGGATCCTGCAGTCTGGAGACCCAAGGAGACTGTCCATGCTGCATCTCTATGGATAAGGAGGCTTCATAAAGGATTTATAGATTTGAAGTCCTCATCCTCTAGGACAGAGGCAGAGGTGGGTTGGGAGAGTCGAGAGCTGCTCTTGCCCTGCTATAACCAGGCTGCATGGGAAGTCAGGCTCAGCTTGGGACACAAGTTACAAAGCAAGGAATAGCCATAAAGGCAGTCCACCCAGTCGCAGAATCCTTCAAACCAAGGGCAGGAAGCAACAAGATCCCTCTCTCAACCACTTGGGCTAGGGACAGAAGTTACACATAAATCAGTCTAAGTGATCAGAAACTGGTTTAAACCTGTAACAGAACAGAAGTTCAGTGGACATAAACCAATTTCAAAATAGACAAAAATGGTTTAAGATAAACCTGGTGGAATGTAGTGTCAAACTTGACTGATTGAGGTCAAACCGGTTTATGGAATTTCTGTCCCATACCCCTTCCTGGTCCAAGTTAAATCACAGTCCCCCAGCATCCCAACATGTTCTGGAGCCCTGGGCTGGGCTGGGCTGGGCTGTCTGCTTTAGAGAGCAGGGTTAGACCCACCCCTGAGCTCTCTAGCAGGAGCAGTGAGGGCTGGTTGACAAGGAGGAGGGGGTGAGAAACCTGGCTGGAGACTGCAGCCAGGTCTGCGGAAAGGGAGGGCAAGGGGGAGGGGAGAGGAGGGGGACAGCCCCTGCCAGACCTTTCCCCCCTGGAGCAGAGCGGGCAGGGACGTGGGGCAGGGCTACAGTCTGAGGAGGACTGCCCCCAGTACTGGGGTCTGGGAGGAGCTTTAATCCCCCCTTCCCCAGCTCAGCATGCTTGTGCCGAGCCCTGCAGGACCAGACTGAAAGGTGGGAGGTGTTGACAAAGACCTGGCACAATCATCACATGTATGTGCTGGAGATGGAGGAACAGGAGAGGGTCCCAGACAGCTTGAGCTACAGCTTGAGCACAGCTACAGCTGTGTGACCAACAAAAGCAGCGAACTACATTTACATTATAAAGCAGAATCTGTAAAAGGTGAGAGACTGGAATGCCTAAGCAAGGACTATCTGAATACCTGTCTGTAAGGAGACACTCAAGATTACCTACACCTAAGACCTATGCAAGGCTTTCTCTTGTCTTTATGGTTTATTACATTCCACTTTAAGTTAAACTAAGCTGTGTGTGTTATCACTATGTTTGACTGGGCTGTATCTTAGCTTGGGAAAAGGTTTTGGTTGCTGTCATGTGCTTGAGGTTGCAAAGTTCTGTGTTTAATACATGCTCACTTCAGAGAAAGGATGGTTTTTGTTCAAACTTTTATGAATTCAGTGCCACTACCTTTTCCGGCACCCCTCTCCTCAGTCTGGAAGTGGCTGCCCCTCCCACATGGGGAGGAGGGGCAGAAGCCTGGCAGGCATAGGTGGAGGAAGGGGGGGGAGGGGGGCTAACTGGGCTCAGCCCCCGCAAACACAGGGCAGCAGGTATGGCCGAAGGGCATGGCAACCTGGGCTTCTCTCTTCCCTTCCCTTTGGCAGTCACTGGCTCTAACACTTCCGAGCTTCTGGCTCAAGCCACTGCAGGCATGTGACTGCATTTCCTGAATCAAAAGTGAATATCTGTTCATTTGCTTATTGCTTCAATCTGTGCAGCTTAGACTAACCTGTTGCAGCAGGGGGGAGGGGGACACATACTCAAATACCCTGCAGCACGCAGCTGGGAGGATCCCGCCCAGCAGGCAGGTATGTTTCTTTCTTTACCTGGGCTGGGGGGTGGGGAAGGAGATCGAGACCCACACAGTGCAGAATCATTCACCCCTGCCCCTACCCCTGTTGTACTGTGGGGATTGTCCCAAAATGTGGCCCTGCCAGGGCACCATTCACAGTGAACAGGGCCCTGGCTGGACCAGGTTGTGGAACAATTGGAGCCTGGTGGCTCTTCCAGAGGCATGGAGCAGTGCCGGGGAGCCAGAAGGGAGGGACATATGGCCCTCTGATCTGTGCACAGGGCAAGAGCAGGCAGCAGCTGCATGCTGCATGCTGGGCTCTGCCCCTTGCCTCCATGCCTCACTGCTGCTCCTCTGAAAGTGGCACGGTGTGGTGCCATGTGCCTTGCTGCCTGGCGTGCCCCATGGCAGGACGCATATGGCAGCACCCGCCGCTTTTTAAGCAGGAGAGGCATGGAGGCAAGGAGCTGAGGCTGGCCCCGCTCCGGCCCCTAGCTCTGGACCCCTCTGGGTGGTGTGTGACCAGGGCCACGAGGCAGCTGGGGCCAGTGCAGCTGGGGCTGGGGGCCAGTAGGCAGCCAGGGCCGGGAGGCAGCCACGGCCGCTGGAGCCAGTGCAGCCAGGGCTGGGAGGCAGCTGGGGCCAGCACGGCGTGGCATCAGGCAACACCGTTCCTCCCCCGTGGCCCTTTCCCCTCTCCCCACAGACTTTCCCATTGGGAGGGGGTGTGAGCATACACATATGTGAACACACGCTCAGCTCCCCCTCCCAAATTTTTTTCTTCCTCCGCCTATGCTGGCAGGCACTGCCCCTGCCTCCCAGGCAGACCTGGGATGGGTTCCCTGTGCCCTCCAGTGAGCTAGCCCCTGCTGGTGCCTGGCCACACCCGCTCCTCTGGAGCAGGGAGGGGCAGGAAAGTCTTGGAGGGCTTCCCTCTTCCCTTCCCTTTGGCAGTGGCTGGCTCTAGCACTTCTGAGCTTCTGGCTCAAGCCACAGCAGGCTTGCAGCTGCATTTCCTGAATCAGAAGTGAATATCTGTTCATTTGCTTATTGGTTCAATCTGCGCAGCTTAGACTAACCTGCAAAGACTGAATTGATTCAGCCTCCGGCTTTTTGACTGTCTGTACTTAGCCTCTGAGAAAAGCAAACGCATGAAGCTATTAGGGTCAGTCTTTATTAGCCAACAGTTACACCAGCCAAATGCAAAATGCCAAGACCTGCAAGAGGCAAAGAAATTCCTCTGTTCTTAAAGCTTGTTCCATACTATAGCTCTGTCAGTCTTAAACTCCGGTAAACAGAATACATGCTGTTGATTAGGTAAATAATGTGATGAATATTCATATATTTAAACTGGGTCAATGATACATTTGCATAAAGCCTCCAGATTTCTAACCTTCATGGTAAATTGGTAAATAAATGCAACATTGTTCTGTTGCAGCTTGCAACCATGGTAAATCTGCAATATGCTGGAAAGCACTCTTCGTATTAAACAGGTCAAATTTAACATTTTTAAAAAGTAAAATTTACAGACACATTCTGGGATGCATCTATTCTGAGAAATCTATTTGAGTGCAATATAAAGGAGTCAATACATGAACACCATAATTAGACACCTTTTTTAAAAAAAGAAGAAACAATGTTTTATTAAAATATGCCATCTCCGAGCTTTCTAAAATGAACTTACTGATTTAATAGACAAATGTACTCTCGACATAGACTGTATTAATTTTAGTAAGTCAGGCACAAGACAGGCATCTTATCGTATGTGGTCATGTTAAAGACTAGGAATGAATTGATGAAAATCATGAATGGAAAGTATTTATTAATAATGAGATTTCCAGGTTGATCTATTTTAAGGACACAGTACAGGAACCAAAGAGAGGAAACAACTGCACAAATACTCATTTGGAACAGTAATCAACAATAATTAATCTAATACTGACACAGGCATGAGTACAGACAGCAAGCCAAGTAAAAGCTTACAGTGTGGTTTTAAGGGGAAAAATGCTATTTTCAAATGTAACGATAAGACTTATAAGAAAAATTAGGGATATGCCACCATTTTGTAAAATGTTGTTATGACTCTTCCTGGAATCCTGTACACCTATATTAAAGGAAGATATAAACAGGACTGAAAACAAATTAGAAGACAGGAAGAGAGATTCAAAAGTTAGAAGACAGCAATTGGAAACTGGTAAGACAAAAAAGGGAAGAGTTCAGTGTTCATTGCGTTCAGATTGAGTGTATAAAAGGCAGGTAGAAGGCAGGGCAGGGTGGCAATGTAAAGACCAACTCATTCAGAAAGGCACAGGTTTTTGTGGTTTCCTCGGATGTTATGAATTGACTTGCAGAGAGCAGGAGTACTAAACAGAACGGAATAAAGTAATTAAAATACAGAGGACAGGGAAAGGAGGAAGAAAGGACAGTGGGGCAAAGCTAAGAGAGATGAAGGTGGGTTGAAGAGGGATAAAACAGTTAACCCACTGTGGAACTACAGGGTTATAAAAGCTAGTGCAGGTAATGGAACAAGAGTCCAGAATCTCTGCTGAGACCATACTTATTTAACACAATCCAATATAAATGACAACAGGATTAAGTCAGTAAAGATGGTAGGGGAAAAAAAGCAGGAGTCTGAAGTTAAGCAGGAAAGACACTTTTAGAGAAATGTTTCCTGTTGAGTAACCAAGCAGTGACATAAAACCAAGGCAGAAGGTTAAGGCAAAATAACATATTTTCAAGAACCAGATAGATAAGTATTAGTGGGACAGCCCATGGTGTGAGTAGGCATGAGAAATATAGTGAAAACACTGAACTGGTGCTTATATAGTAGCAAAGATAACAAATAAAATACCTGTTTGGAAAGCAGGAGACATATTAATAAATGAAAGATATTTATTTCCTTTTCCAAGTAAGGAAACTACATTAATTTTTAAATGAAGTTTTGACTCACTACAGTGAAAAAACTATTTAAAGACTTGTAGGTTAGAAAATGTGCCAGTTTCAGACAAATTTAGAATGGGATTTGCTGAAAAATATTTTATCTGAGGTCTCATAAATTCACTACTTTCCTTCCCATATCATGACAAAACTATGTTCATAATAGCACATGCAAAATATACTGTAGATATGAATAAAGGACTAATCCTTATAAAATCTGTAAACTGAATTCAAGAACTAGTCATTTAAAAACAAATATGTTTCATTCAAGGTTGTTCAATATGCCTGGCTCAGATGGTTTGTCCATTACAAAAGTATATACAAACAACTTAAATATTAAAATAGGATAGGCAGAGATTGCACTTATCAAGAAGATGAAGAGTAAGGTAAAGAAACTGGAGTGACTTTTTATAACAGGGATCAAAGTGCAAATAAGATTATGCCTGATGGCAAGAGTCACCTCCATTTCTTGTAGCATTCGTTTTGTTTTTTTCTTGCTTCTCTAACATTCTGCCAAAGACACTGTAGAGTACTGTACTTCTGCATCTCCTAGTTTTGCAACATTTGAGTTCTGCAAAGCCACAAGGAGCACAGGACGCTGCTGAGCACCCTATACTACTGTAGACAGGTTCTACTTTTATTTGTAAATGTTTGTTTGTTCTTTTTTTTTTTTTTGCAAATGAACGTATGACTGACTCCTCTGACACCAACCATTCACATTGGCCACTAAAATAGTACAGTAATTATGATGCCCAACAGCAATAGCAATAGTTAAACTTCATGGACTTCACAAAGACAGAACAGTTCGCTGAACAGATTTAACACACATATGATAGAAAGACAGTTAATATCAGAAACAGAAAAATACCTATAAACAAATACCTTGAGAAGTGACATCATACTTTTCAGCAGAAACAGATTTTATCTCCATTGTGACTGTATGCAGCAATTCGATTACTTGAACCTGTTTCATGAAATCACATAGCATGGCTTTTCCACAGCCCTTCAGGTAAGCTTCCAGGATTACAGCAAACCTTTGCTGGTAGTGCATGGACTGGGCAATCTCACTTCTTAGAAACCAAAATAAGAAGTGACCAATTCTTTTGTTCTAGAGATGGAGAAAAATGCTAAAATTAACATACATGACAGTATCCTAAGAAACAGCCCATTTTAATGATACTGTAATTTTAACATTACTTACTGGTCCTATTTTGAAGTACTTACTCTCAAACCTCGTTTTAGTAGAAATCTGGCCAGTGCACTGTCATGATAGGGCTCAAATTTCACAGCCTAAAAAATGTATAAAAAAGCAAGCAAAGTTTTTTTTTTAATTTAAAATATGTGTAACACCTTGTTACAGTATCTTATAATTTAATCATTATATCAACAGAACAAAGCCTGATGAGAAGAAACATGATGGCAAAGCACACGGCTGGTTTCTAGAGAAAAAAAATGCTCAGGGGGTTGAGGACAAGTCCCAGTCCTCAACATAAGTTAGCATTTGATTTGGTCTGTTCATGTTACAATAGGCTTGGCCTTTGTTTTTTTAAGTGATGTTATTAACTTGACAAATGATTAACAAAAGTAACATGGAGACACACCCAACCAGTCCGAGCTTACACTAATAGTGCAGTACAGTGATGACAGTAGGTAGTAGTAGAGAACCTCAAAACCAGCAACAAAGCTATTAATTGAGAGGCTGAAGTTTTTTGTCCTATAATCCAGGGCTGTCCAATTTTTAACTGGCTGGGGGCCACACCAGTAGGGGCCATATACTGTATGAGCCACAGTAGCGTGAGCCCGGGTTGCTTCCCTTCCCTGCTGCACCATATGCATGGCCCCCCACCCCTCTTTCCACCAGCTCACTAGCCACAGGCTCCCCCCCTGCACTGTAGACTCCCCAAGCACTGCAACCTGCACTTTGCCACATCATCCCTCCCTGGGGCAGGCACAGAGGAGAAGCTCAAAGACCCCATCTGCTGCTGCAGCCAGAGTGACCGGTAATGGGAGCCTGGAGGCCACAGATATACCCCATACAGATACATGCATCCTCAGGCCAGCAGCTGGACAACTCTGTCTTAATTAAAAAACATTAAAGTTTCAGATAAAAAGGAATCTGAACCACTAATATTAATAGCAATAAACCCAGCAGAATCTGGATTTGTTAGTTTCTGTTATGTGTCTCAATACATTACATGGTTCTCATGACAAACACTACACTGACTACATTAGTCATAAAACATCCCGAAATGACTCACTTAAGGAGTGAGGCTTATTGCTGTTGGGATCATGCTATGTATGTTATTGCTTCCCCCCCAGAAACAAAAATGGTTCCTAGTTAAAAAATAAGAAAAAAATATAAAGAAAGAGTCTGAATATTTCAATATTATTTATTGTTAAATATTTTCTTCCCTGTGTTTATAAAGTTCTCTGAATAGAGACACTATTTTTTCACCTCCAGCTGTGGTCTGAGCTGGACTGCATTTCAACAGCTGTTGGTGGTTCAGGGACTATTTTCAAATTTCAGTTTCTATTTAAAAAAAGATTTGTTTTGTCAATAGGAGCCAAGTCAGTCTGCAAAGTGGCAAGTAGACTTTGGGGCACCATGTTAAAAATTAATTGCTTAGGTAAAGCAAGGTTTCTCACGCAACTCAGTGGTATTTTCTAAGTCTGACTGCACCAGAGGTGGGCAATTATTTGGGCCCGAGGGCCACTTAGGGTGTTTTGGTGACCTATTATGGGCCGGATCAGCACCCTCTTGCCCCCACTCTCCCACAACAGATCACCAAAACTCCCTAAGAGGCCAGGTAGATGGGATGGGGCCAGGGGCAGGGCCAAGGCTGGGATTGGGATTGTGGGACAGTGACAGTGCAGGGCTGGGCCAGGCCCTGGGCAGAGCCATGATCTGCTTTTTGCACGTCCCTGTGATGGGCACCAGCTGTGTGGGCACAGGTGGCTGGTCCCACTGTGCCTGGGCAAGCAGCAGGGCTGGGGCAGTGCAGCAGCCAGACTCGCTTCCTGGCAGCAGCAGCTTCTTCCAGCTGCTCCTGCCAGTCTCCGGTGCTGGACTCGGCCCTGTTGCCCAGCCCCACCCCCCCCTGCCTTTCCACCCTGCACCCACAGCTGCACAGAGCAGGTGGGCAGGATCTCCATGGAGACCGGCCAGGACCCATGTGAGCAAAGTGCGTGGCCAGGCAGGTGGAATGGGATTGAGTAAAAACTTAAGAGCTGCCATTTCCTGAGGGGTGCCTAGAGTTTATCCAGGGGTGCCTCAAGTATGAAAAGGTTGAGAAACACTGATCTAGAACTTGTCTGAACAGAGTTAAAGTGCACAGTTTAGGATGTGTTGTCATCCCTCTTATCATCAAGGAGCTGCATTTTTGGTAGTGCAACTGTGAGAAGTTTGAAGTAAAATGTTTCTGTAAACATAAGCTGTGAATATCCACAAAAGTGGTATTAAAAATGTTATTTAGCTTTTACTAGCACTGTTTTGACTATGACTGAGCATCTCAAACAATGGGTCACTATTACCATTAGAACATTTTTGCAATAATGCAAATATTCCAGAAGACTAATGTTAAGACATGCAAATACACCTTACCTGTACTAATTGTAAAAGGTAATGGAGAACATCATCATCTTCTAAACACTCGAGTTTTTGAACTGCCATTGCTCTTACATTTTCATCCGAAAAATTGCAGTCCAAAAGCTGCATTGTCAGTCCAACATCCAAAGTGCTTTGATCCCATGCTTCTTTTTTAGCTAATAACTGGTATGTTTTGGCCACTAAATCTTGCTGTCCCCACTTCACTGAGCTAAGCAGCTTAGGATATGCCTTGGGGTGCTTTATGCTTTCGTATCTGAAATGCCACAATAATTCCTTGTCCTCAGCAGTAAGCGGGTTAAGTGGGTCAGTGGCTATGATCTCTTCGAGCTGTTTGCGAAGTTGGTTGGGCATTTCAGTTCTTGCCCCATCTCCCTGAGTATCGGATGTTATCCTGTGTTTGGGCAAAGCTATTGGGTGGCAGTATTTGTCTAAAACAATAGAGACTGCCATTGAGTTTTCTTTATCAGGATTAGTTGCTGATGTAAGTTTGTCAGCATTGATGCTTCCCTGCTCTTCCCCCTTACCTGGAATTTTCCACATATGAAGCACATACTCCCCACTTCGTAGCAAGAAACGGTGATCTATCAACAAAATATTTACATAGTAGAGAAGCTGGGTTTTGCATTTAGAGTCAGAACTGGGAGAATCATGTGACTGAAGGTTGGCCTTTGTGGATAATGACTGTGTTTTGCCACAATACACCTGCAGATTCAGTAGTGCTCCTTTAGGCAAGTCTTTAATTTTAATATCAAACTCTAGCCAGGTATTCCACAGAACCTCCTCGGTGAAAGGCTTAGATGCAGTCCTTCGTTGGGAAAGGAGTTGTTGCCCATGTTGAATATTAGCCTCAACAAATACAGTGATGTCAGTATTTCTGGGTAGCACTGGAATATCAATGCCAATTATCTTGACTCTAAATTTTCTATTACAGTCCCACAAAGAGATAGTGAACACTCTCTCATGATCTTTTCCATCGATTGTCAACTGTTCATGATATCCTGTAACTCCTGTGCAGTCATCCACCAATGGCCACTCTTCTTTCTGAACCTCATCCTCATTAGGGTCAGGAGGAGTGTCTAGCACAAGGTGAATTTCTTCCCCATTCTTAAGGCACTGTCTTATACAGTGAAAATCTTTGACTGGCGTTTCCCCTGTAATATATTCATCTCTGCCACAAACCCTGAGAACAAAGTCCAGTTCACTGTGATCTTCAGGAATGTCCATCAAAGATTTCTTTTTTGCCATTTTTGTGAAAAAGCTCTGAAGGATCATATCTGGAGTATCATCTATTGAGATTTTAATTTTCTGGCTAGTTGTTCCTCTATGTATGTTTATAAAAATATTATTATTAGTAATCTTTTTAAACAAATACTCAGGAAGGGGCTTGGAGGTAATCCATGGGTGCATTGAATACAATTTTGGATCTCTGCAGGCTACTTCAATCATTCGTGGAGTGACCAGCCTGCGGCGTGTAAATTCTAGTTCATCATCATGCACATTACTTACATCAGTGACATCATATCCTATTAAGTCATTCAGCTGCTTCTGAAATTCTTGAACTTCCACTGATGGTTTCTGCTTCTGAACAACATAGATTCTGCCTACCTTTTTCTGTAACACTTTCCAATATAGTATACAGTCCAATGTCTGAATTACCTGATGTTTGTCATAAATTTCATACCACTGTCCTTTCTTTTGATATTGAAGAATAAACTGATCTGGGGTGTATTTATGGCAGAAGTCTGAGGTTTGGCTCATCTCTATTGCATGCATCCAAATCTGTGCTTTCATTTGCTCAACAGTACAGTTGCCAGCAATTTCAAGTGTCACTATTTCTGGGGTTTTAGTATGTTTAGGGCTTGTGGGTAGAACAAACTCAATGGGTATCAGTTCCATTGAAGATAAATTATTTGCTGTACAATAAGGCTTCATTCTTCTCCTCCTCCGTTTGTTTTCCTCTCTCATAACAACAGGCTGTTCATGATTCCCCAACTCCATGCCAGAAGAAATCTAGCAAAACATAAACAGTTTGCTCATTTTTCATTTACACTTTTCTATATTCTGTTACAAAGGCATTAATTTTTTGTGTTAGTTTTAATCACAGGTCAGAATCATAATCCTTAAAATATACCTTATATATTCCCATTGTTTCTGTATAAACCTTTTATTCAGGATGTCACGTGTGCACCAATGTGTTTGTTTCTAAACCTAACATAAAAGACTATGCTTAAACAATTAAAATAGTGCACTTACACAGGACTGTTAATCCCAACTCAGCTAAAGCAGCTCAGAGGGACAAAGCAGTTGAAACTCCCACCAAACTGAAAACACAAACATTAGAAACTTGCTCCTACTCATTCTTCCCTTCTGAATTTGACTTATGCAGATTTTTCCCACCTCTTGTGGCCTGAGTGCAGAATTTAATATAAGTTGGTTCTGACAACACTCAAAAGAAATTTTGCTCAACTAACGTGCCAGAAAGATGCTAACCAAGCTCTGGGGAAAACATCTGTTAATTGCAGCAGTGGAAGCAATCAATATAATGTATCCATAAAACTTCCAGAAATTAAGGTTTTTGACCCCACTCACTTCTCCCAACCTTTCAGTAATCTCTTGTTAGATGCTGGGCAGGGATTTCTTAACAGATTATGATCAGTTAATGTTCATCTAACGTGTAGTTTAGCACCCTAAGAACTGTTCCTTTAATTATGAATTTTGGAAGACTGATAACAGCCAATGATTCAAAACCAAGCATTTGCAATACAAAATTACTAGCTGGCTACAGATGAAAATGCTCCTAACCCAATGGCAGTATACTATGTTCCACATCAAATAAGAATGTCTAAAACTGTTTTAAAATCTTTTAGTGTTAATGTTTATGTTAATTTGTTTTCTTAAAATCAGTGAAGCATTATTATTACATAAAGTGAAAGAGAAAGGCAAAGATAACTACGCACACTTAAACAACCTGCTCTTCATTTTTTCTTTTACTAATCATAATCTAAATTGTTTTATTTCAACATTTCCCCACAAGAAATCTTATATATAAAAGCATCTTTCCACGTGCTTGAAGGGAAAAGGAGCGGGGCAAACAAATCAAGCACCAATCTAATGATTGCAAAGATTAGAACCAAAAGAGTTAAAACATATCACGCAGTTAAACCAAAACAGCATGACACACCGGCTAAAATTCATTTTGAATGTTCCGGAAAAGAAATAACTTCGGACACCATTTTTATAATTATCAAAACACAATGAAATATTACCTGATTACAAAGTAGATGCTGAGGCACTGAAGACGACTCATTTGTTTAATTTTTGAGTTCTTTATTTTTTTTAAAGAGAGAATCATTCATACAAAAACTTGTTTGTTTAAGCTGTTCTGCTTTTCTTTCTTGCCCTCATATCCAGATGCAGAGGAAGTGCTGCACTTACCAGGAAGGAAGTTTTAACCAAGTTGATTATACATACGATTGCTCATTTTAAAAAAAGTCAGAACGCTTTTCCTGTTAGAACAGTTGAAATATATTTACAGTACCACTCACCACAAAAACCTAAGCATAACTTTAAAACACATGGGTGGAAGGGATATGCTAAAAATGATCCAGCTAGATAAAAATAAATTAATGGTCATCATAATGATTAAGTATGCATAAAAATAGCTGACTAGAAGAAATGCTCTATTTAACAAGAAACTGTTTCTGAAAATTTATTTACAAAGGGTAAGCTACTTACATGAGCAAGTTAACCACAACACAATTAAGGCTCCAATCTTGTCTCATTTTTATTTGTACTTTGGTAGCCCCTAGGGGCCCTCACCCTAGACTAACTATGGTTTTGGATGTTTGTGTCAACGCAGATGCTATGTGAAGCTGCTCTCCTCTGAGGCATAGGTTACTGAATCAACCTAAATGTCTATTAATGGCAGTGCCACAAATAAAGCCCAATAATTCTGAGGCTGCTGAAAGACCAAAGAGCAATTCCAGACTTGAGAGTTTGCAAAATAAACATTTTAGCACTGCATACACATTAAAAATAATGTATGTTTCAGATGTTACTCTAAAGTATGCTAGCCCAATAACTTTTTAACAGCAGACTCAAGAATTTTTTATTCAAAAAGCCCTTGGCCCATTTGTTTTGTTTTACTGATAGCCTCAGATTTGGGAAGCATTTGATGGATGTTCAATCCCAGTCACTGATGAAGCTACTCATAATATAAGTTAAAGGAACTATGATACATGTATATCTTTCAGGTTGGTCTTAATGACAAAATGCAAGAGAGAAAGAGAGAGAGGGAAGGATCAGGGAAACAGACATTAAAAATAAAAAAAAAGGGGAGGGATAACCAATCTTCTTGCAGAATAAACTTCATCAGTAACGTTCTGTCTATTCTGGAGAACAGGAGACAGATGATGATGAAAATATCCTGGAAAAATGATGATGGTAAGGAGGAGAAACAAGCATAGGAAAGACAAATGAAAGCTGTCCAGAGACAAGCAGAGTTTTCTTAGATATCCATGCTTAATCACGTTGCATTTCAGACACCATTGTTACTAAAAAAGAAAATTTAAGCTCCACATCTGCTGGGAGCAAATGCTGAAGATCTATACTAGGTTCTGCAGTGTCTTACAGAGGCTCAGAAGTTAACACTTCCCTGAGGTGAAAAAACATTCACAGTAGGCATGATTCATTTTATTCATAACCTCATCTTGATTTCAGATCTAACATAGAAACTCTGAAAAAGTGAGTCACTAAACATTTCAGATTGCATCTTACAAAAAGCTGGCAACACTGTCTACAGTTAACATTGCTACACAATTCTCCTTTTAAGACCCTACTTTAAGAAGCTTTTCTATTTGCCAACCTTAAACAGTTATGTGCAAAATTTTCTGTGCTAGGTGATGTTTTCTCCTAATAACTGAGGCATTTCAGAGAATGAGTCCCCGGGAAAATGTGTTGTTTTACGAATGCTAAAATATTTCTAAAATCTTTGGCTTGAAAAAGGGCAGCTACTTTCAACCTTTGGGGCAGGGACTTGAAATTGTAATTGAAAAGTACTTCTTGCCATCCCCATAAAAATCCACCCAATGGACCGAGCTGCACTTGCATGTATGCATTAGAGCAGGAGTGGGCAAAATGCAGCCTGGGGGCTGGATGCGGCCCACCAGGCCATTCTATCTGACCTGCGGGGCCCCTACAAAATTTATAAAATTAATATTAATCTGCCCTGGGCTGCCTGTCATGCGGCCCTCGATGGCTTGCTGAAACTCAGTAAGCAGCCCTCTGTCCAAAATAATTGCTTGCCCCTGCTTTAGAGGGCTGTCAGATTTGGGTCACCGAGTTCTTTGAAGACTCCTTCAGAGGTGAGCAGAACTTTCCCTGCTCTTGCTGCTTGTGGCTGGTGCCTGCTTATGTCTTGTCAGGAGGAGGAGGAAGCTTCCTTACTCAAAGGTGGGGCCAAAAGGGAGACAGGAACAGAAATAGAAAAGATGAGGTAGGGAACGTACCTGGGCAACCTTGATTTTAGCATTACCTACCTTGAGTGCTGGACACTACAGTTATACCATGCTTTTCTGAAATTGTAACATACAATTTCTATAAAATAATGTAGTCTCCAAAAAAAATAAATCTGAAATTTCATTAAAAAAAAGAGTTTGGGTCCTAACTAGCCATGTTTTTCCTGCCAGTGAATGCATATATGCTTTACCTAAACATCCCAGGATCTACCAGAGTCCCATTCTTCTGAAATTATTAAATATACCTGGAACCATTATAAATGGATGTGCCTTCACAGATCTGGCAAAAGCCAACAAGAACATGCCCTACACTTTTCACAATTGTGATGTGCTTGAATATTAATTCCCTCAAAACAAATGCACTCAATTTCCTGCTTAGCAATTCCAGTAACCGTTAATCAGCTGATCAGGCTATAAGTGGCATGAAAAAAAAGTTATCTTATATAAACTACAGTCGTTATATACTCTTCTGCTCTTAAAATGTGATTAGTTTAATTTACTTGCAAAGTACAGTGATAGCAATAATCACTAGTAATCTAACAACCTGCCACATGCTATAATGCATGGAATAGTGACATAAATGCCAACTGCCTGCACAACTGCTGCATTCTCCAGTTCCTTTCATTCATCTTTAGATAGATGTCCTTTGAGACATGAATTGTCTCTATTCTGCATTTGTACAGTGACCACAAAAAGGAATCAATCATGACTGGGATGTAAGGAATACGTCAGAATATAAATACTTACTAGTAATACAAATCTGGCCATACGGCCTGTATCTCGCCCCATAGATTTGCATCACAGAATCTTTGTCTGTAGCATCAAACACCACTATTGAAGTTTCCTGTAAATTAATTTACTCCACAGGGTGAATTCTTTTTACATGTCCACAGTACATATCCACTGTAGTAACGCAAGACAAATCCAAAATATGTAAAAACAATCCTTTGCAGGGTTTTTGGTTGTAGCCATGTTGGTCTAAGAACATAGGCAGGCAAGCATCTTTGGGTAGGTGTGATATCTTTTATTAGAAATGCCTGAAGAAGGGTGCTTATGCCCACAAGCTTACAAAAAACATTTTTCCATCTACTCAGTTGGTCTAATAAAAGATATCACATCTGCCCAAAGAAGCTCGGAAAACAATTCTTTGAACTTCACATATTTTCTGTTAAGTAACTGCAGGGATAACAAAGCATGAACAACACAGTTCCAATATGTAAGAACCAAGGTAAATCTTTTTTGGCATTCCAAAAGAAGTGGGTGACTTCATAGTTTCATAGTAGCTAGGGTCAGGGGGGGGCCTGATCAGATCATCTAGCCTGCCCCCCTGCCACAGACAGGAATGAATGCTGGGTTCACAAGACCCCAAACAGGTGATCATCCAACCTCTTTTTGAATTTGGGCCAAGGTAGGGGTGAGAACCACTTCCCTGGGAAGTTGGTTCCAGATTCTGGCCACCCTAACTGTAAAATATTGCCTTCTGATGTCTAACCTAAACTTATTCTCCATCAGCTTATTACCATTGTTCCTTGTCACCCCAGGTGGTGCTGGGGAGAATAGGGCTCTTCCTATTTGCTGATGATCTCCACTGATGAGTTTTTAGGCAGCCACCAGGTCCCCCCTCAGCCTCCTCTTGCCGAGGCTTCTTGTTTTTGCTGTTGCTTTTAATGATGCCTTTTTTGCTTTTTGCCTCTGGGTTTCTTTTATATAGATAATCCCAAAATATAAAAAAATACTGTTTCTATAGATCAGTAGTCTCAATTTTTTGCACTCAAGGCACCCCTTATTGGACTCAAGGCACCTCTCTGTAACTTCTGTTAATTGAGTGGCACCAATTAAAAAAACGAATTTATACATTACAGTGCTTACCTCCTTGCACAGAGGCTGAGCAGTAGGGGTAGGGAATCATCCAGACAGGGGCAAGCCTGAGTCTGTGCTTATTTGCTTAATTTACCTGCTTATTTCCTCACACCTTGTGACACCCTTCAAACCAAGGGTGGGCAATTATTTCAGGTGGAGGACCACTTACTGAGTTTTGGAAAGTCATCAAGGGCCTCATGACACGCAACCAGGGGCAGGTAAATATTCATTTTCTAAATTATTTAGGTGCCCCGCAGGCCAGATAGAATGGCCTGGCGGCCCACATCCGGACCATAGGCCGCATTTTGCTCACTTCTGCTTCAAAGGATCTGGAGCACCCTGGTTGCCAATCACTGCTCTAGATATTTCTGGCCCTCCTGGAACTATGAGATGCTCATAAAGGAGGTAGCTTTTTCCAGAATTTCCAGCATAATATTGTAGTCAAGCAGTTCTAATACTTTGGTAAGCATCCAAATTATTGGTAGGACCCTACTCATTTCGCGATTTTGTGGACGGACTCTGTAGAAATTGTGAAATCCAGCATTCCCCACAAAATTGGGCAATATCTGTGAAATCCAAAAAAACCCCACAAAAACCACTTACTGAAAATAAATGCTGGCTCCTGCGTGAGGAGGGCCAAGATGGCAGGGCCACATGACCAAAAACCTTCTCAGCCAATCAGTGGCAAGGGGTGGGGCTGCATGATAGATAGCCCTTGCAACCAATCAGCGGTGAGGGGCACAGCCCCTCAGCCAGATCCCCTACCGTGATAAGCCCATGAAAATGGTGGTTGGCCCCATGATCTGCTTGTGAAATCGGCCAGCTGCCTCCTCGAGTACAGGGTCTTAACCAAAAATGAAACTTATGAGGAAAGATCATCAGTAAAGTTAACTGTAAGCTTTGGGTACAACAGACAGGTATTTTTCAGAAGCAAAAAATTGATACCTGGTCCAATTGGGTCATCAACTGAGACTAACAGCTATTGCCGATTTGATGAGAGGGACTGGACCAGGACTCCTCAGACCAAATCTGTTTCATTAGGGATGAATACAGCCAAAAAGTTGGCAATCTTTTAAGGCTGTGGGCTGGACTGACCCAGTTGGGTCAGGTAGGCTGCTCGGAGGGTTGCCCAGCTGCTACTGCCACTTTTCCTCCACTGGCACTGTTCCCCACAGTGGCAGGGGAAACCAACTGCTCCTGAAATCCCCCACTGCTGAATGCCACCAAAAGCACATGTCCACAGGCTGGATCAAATGGCTAGGTGGGCCAGATGTGAGGGCTGTCAGCTAGAAATTTAAACTATTTCTTCTCATGATGATTTTGACAAGATACTAAACAACTTTGTACCCCGGTTTACCCAATTCAAGCATAATGCTAACCTATATCTTGGAAGGGATTGGGAGGTTTAATTAACAATTAGCATATACAAAGTGCTTTCAGAATATTTGATGAAAAATGCTATAGAAGCACAAAGGATAGACAAACAATTATACTGTTTTAAGGGAATGAGAGAGAGCAGTTCTGTGTGCCTGCTCCTATGTGTTAGTAACCAAAAGTTAAACCAGACCAGTTTTGCTGCTTGCAGGAGTAAAAAATAAAATAAAATACTGGCTTTACTTAAAACTCTGCATGTTCCTGCACTGACCCCAGTGCATGCCTAGAAAAACCAGTGCTTTAGTTGGACTCAGCTTGCTTGATGTCGATATAGATTGGGCGCTTTTGTAGGGCTTGTTAGGCACTTTTATCTAATAGCTGATTCAATCAGCTATTAGATAAAAGAGCCAAAAAGGCCTGCTGAAGCACCCAATCTATACAGAGGCTGGAGAACCAGGTCAAAGTAACATGCTGCTTCTTCTGCTAAAGCAGTTTTTATGATTTCTTTAACATCTGCAAGCAGCCTTTATGTCCAAATGAAACAGGGTTAAGTTTCCCAAATTAACTTCACTTACTTCAGAAAACAGGGAAGGGCGGCACCTTAAAGCAGTGATTCCCAATCACCCTGGAGTGCTGTGAAATCCTTGTTAGGGTGCTTCAAGATGCCACGCAACTATTAGGCGTGCAAACATCTACACAATTCACAAGATAAACCCAGAGGGTGCATCCCAATCCTTTATGGTGCCACGCACGCAAGTGTTCCCTGCACTGCTACTTTGCAGCATGAGGTGGTGGGGGTTCTTGACTCAGCGATATCCCAGGGTCAAAAAACCCATGCCAAAGAAAAGGCAGGGTGGTGCATGCTCCCAGAGTGCCCCCATGATCCCAGGTAAAGCTGCTGGAGCCAGCACAGTTGCTGGCCCCACCCTCCCCTACCCCACATGGGGTAACCTGACACACGCTGGAGTGCATACAGCATGGGTGTTCCCCAGGGACAAGTAGAAGAGGCACAACAGCGGCATCTGGGGAAACACTGGCAAGGCTCGTGAAGATGCAGAGATTTCAAATATAAATCCAGTGTAAAAAGCATTCTGACCTGCTGTGATCTTTCCTCATTCTCTGCAACATAAAAACTGCTCTATTATTTTTCCGGAGTCAAGAAATAAGCATGATATTTTCTGAGAGACGGTTTGAGTCTAACCACTGCTTTGGAGATTAACAGTTCAGAGACATAAGCTTTTGAATCTGACAGTCTACTTCATCAAGTGCTACATATATTTTTTGAACCAGTTAGTCCCTAAGGTCCCACTCTCCCCTGGCTTCATCCTAACACAACTAACTGCCCGTACTGTTTAACATCTTCATCAGCAACTTGGACGAGGGGGTGGAAGGCACACTGTCCAAATTTTCTGACGACACTAAGATGTGGGGCGAGGTGGAAACACTTGAAGGGAGAGAGGCTGCAACTAGATTTAGACAGACTACAAAAGTGGGCAGATGAGAATAGGATGGGGCTCAACGTAGACAAATGCAGGCTGCTACACCTTGGGAGAAGGAATCCACAGCATACATACATACAGGCTGGGGAGTTCCCTTCTTGAAAGGGCAGAGGCAGAAAGGCATCTTGGAGTCATTATTGACTCCAAGATGAACATGAGCCGCCAATGCCAGACCGCAGCCAGCAAAGCCAGCCTTACCTTGTCATGCATCCAAAATGCATCTCAAGCCAGTCCAGAGAGGTGATACTCCCCCTCTATGTGACTTTGGTCAGGCCACAGTTGGAGTACTACATCCAGTACTGGGTGCCGCACTTCAAAAGGGATGCGGCCAGCCTGGAGAGGGTTCAGAGGAGGGCCACCCGCTTGGTGAGAGGGCAGCAGGACAGGTCCTACGAGGAGAGACTGACGGGCCGGAACCTGTTTAGCCTCAGCAAGAGGAGACTGAGGGGAGATCTAGCGGCTGCCTACAAGCTCATCAGGGGAGATCAACAGCAAATAGGCAGAGCCCTTTTCTTCCCAGCACCACCTGGGGTGACAAGGAAAAATGGTAATAAGCTGATGGAGAATAGGTTTAGGTTAGAGATCAGAAGGCAATATTTTACAGTTAGGGTGGCCAAAATCTGGAACCAACTTCCCAGGGAAGTGGTCCTCACCCCTACCTTGGGCAAATTCAAGAGGAGGTTGGATGACCACCTGTCTGGGGTCTTGTGAACCCAACATTCATTCCTGCCTGTGGCAGGGGGTCAGGATAGATGATCTGTTCAGGTCCCTTATGACCCTAGCTACTATGAAACTACCTCTCTCCACTTACTGCAGGAGAAGCAGACAGATGGAAGTTACAATGGATCAAGTGGCACATCCTCACAAGTATTAAGTCCTACACTCCAACCGCTTAGAATGGTATAGTTGTTTCTCCATGTCAAGGTGGCATTTTCATTACTGATTTTATATTTTATATTTCTGCTATGAAACATTTGTGATATCTGATGAAACTGTTTAGCACGGAGCAAGTGCTATGTTAAATTATGCCTCCCTGAGAAAGTTTTACCAGTTATACTGATACTGTTAAACCAGTAGATCAAAGGTAGGAAACCCCCAGTGCCAGTGTGGGGCACACAAAGGCATTTAGCTTGGCATGCATACCTTGGGGTGGATGGGAGGGGAGCTGTGAGGAGGCCAATGCTTGTTGTGACAGTGCAGCCCTAGCCCCTTCCCTGCCATCCACCTCAAGAAACATGTGCACCTGCCACTGGCAACCAGCTGGGCTGGGGCTCCACAGACCTGGTGCAGCTGTTTGTAGTCTCCCTGCTGCCTGCTGTGAACAGCCTGGGCTCTGTGGCAGGCAGCAGGGGCCTGCCCAGAGCCTAGACTGGTGGTGGCAAGCAGCCAGGAGGCTGCAAGTGGCTGCACTAGGGTCCGCGGAGCCTTGGCCCAGCTCACTGCAGGTGGCAGGTGTATCCATGCCTCAGGGTGGACGATGGGGAAGGGGCTGAGGCTCTGCTGCTGCAACAAGGATGGGGTCCCTTATGGCTAGGGTTGCCATCTTTCCAGGTCCAAAAAGAGAGGACACCTGTTGGGGGGACATCTCACTCCCAACCCATAGC